GATTTTATTAGCTGGCCAGAGATGAGTCCATGGCTACCCATTCCAACATGGTCAGCAGCATGCTAGCTCATTCTCTCCGCCAAGCCTGAAAATTCATATTTTCTCTCTCTCTCTCTCTCTTCTCTCAATCTCTCTCTCCCCTCCCCTCCCTCTCTCCCTTTCTCTCTCTCTGCATTTCTCAATCCTTCACTTCTTAAAGGCCCATCTTGAGTTCTGCTTCCCAGGGACCCTGTCTGCCTTACTCACCATAGTGCCCCTTGGCCACAGCACACAGTAAGCAATCGACAAATGTTGGCTAAAAGGCTGTCACTCAGCTCTCCCTCACCTACACACCCCTCCAACACTTTGCACCTCTGGTAGAGAAAAAGCAGCTCCACTCTTATGTGACAAGCATTAAATTTGTACATAAAAATTCATCTGAGGAAAGCAAGCTATGCATTAGGAAGTGAGAGAATCGTTGGACTAAATGGTATGTGGTCAGCATCTAACCTGACCACACAGTGTTCAACTTCAGAAACAACTGACTCCGACCAGTTTCTGCACAGTGCCAGGCACTATGCTCAGCCCTGGACATGTGGAATCAAACATAGTACAGGTTCCTTGATAGCTTACACACAGTGAGTAATGACATCATAAAACAGAGAACCATTAAAAAAAAAAGTATAGGAAACTCTCAACACTTCTGTTACGTGTAGGGTATTACAGAAACTCAAAGAAGCTGCCTGCCCTCTGCAGCTACACCAGCTCCACAGAGGCCGGTGCACATTGTAATTCGTGTGAATGGTGTTCCCTGGAACTGTGCAGTGTACAACCTGAGCAGCAAACCCAGCAGCCCTCAAGTGGTCTTCCACACACATTACCTCCTGGGGTTTTCACAACAGTTCAGGAAGGAAGGTATGCCTTCCCCATTTGGCAACTTAAGAATACAAAGCTCAGAGAGGTGAAGCAGCTTGCCAAGATCACACAGCTGGCAAAAGGCAGAACTGGGGAATCGAACCCAGGTCTGCCTGTCAAAGTCCAAGCCTAGGCTCATAGAAACATTGCATCACTTTTCTAAGTCAAAAAAAAAAAAACCAAACCCACTGCCATCAAGTCGATTCTGACTCATAGCGACCCCCACTGGGCTTCCGAAGCAGTAAACCTTTACAGAAGTACATTGCAGGTCTTCCTTCCGCAGAGCGGCTGGCGGGTTTGAACCACCAAACTTCTGGTTAGCAGTCAAATGCCTTAGGCATTGTACTACCTTTCTTTTCTTACTAGCACAACCATTAACCCTTTATTAGCTGGACTTATTAGCTGGAAACAAAATATTCTGAGGCCCTAAAGAAAACATGTCTAGCAGCCAAAGAGCATAAAGGGAGACAGGCCCCATCAGGCTGGTTGAGGATAACACCACTGTGCAAAGACATGGGGAAGAAAGAACAGCTAACAATGAACAAAAGATCC